CAGTGGAGGTGGTCAGGCGCGGTGCAGGGTAGTCAATTGCACCCTATAGATTGCGCGCCATCTAGATTCTCCTTTCTAAGAAGAGAATAGACTCTACCCCCCCCCCGGCGTTCGCCGCCCCCCTTTCGGGTACGCAAATCAAATATGATTCTGACCACATGTCCATCCTAAATATGAATGTAAGTTATCCCCGGGGAACCGGTATCGGCCCCCCTGCGGTTCCCTTGTAAGAAAACGATACGCGGGGACATCCTTTGTTCTAACATAAGACTTGTTCACGAATCCCGTGCAAAAAATTAGACGAAGTGCACACGCGCGCGTCGTCGCGCGCGCATGCCGAAATCCTTCAAAAACCTTCGGTGTCGGAAGGATTTCGCAGCCGAGTTTCCAAACAACATACAAAAACACAGGGTTTCGCAACACTGATGTGCTAAAAAAGCTTACGCGCGAGCTCTTGCGAAATCTTAAGAAAACCATCGGTTTTTCAAGATTTGCGCAAAAAAAACAACCAAACGGGCTTCGCGCGCGCGCATGTCGAAATCTGTCGAACGCCCTTGCGCGTGTGCCGTCGCGAGAATACATGAGAATCCTCTGCAAAAAAAGGGACAAAATGCAGACGCGCGAGTCGTCGCGCGCATGCCGGAATCCTTCGAAATCCATCGGTTTCGGAAGGATTTCAAAATCGTGTGTCCCAGAAACCTACGAAACACACAAGGTTTCGCAACACGGATGTTCCGTGCGCGCGCGCTCTTGCGTCGTCGTCGTCGTCGTCGCCGTCCTCCCTCCTCCCGCGTCGTCGTCGTCGTCGCCTACGTCGTCCTCTGTCTTTCCTCGTGTTCGTCGTCGTCGTCCTCTTTGGCATCGTGGTCGTTTCCGTAGTCGTTGTCGCCGTGGTCGTCCTTCCTCCTCCTCCCTCGTCGTCGTCGTCCATCGTCGGCGTCTCGTCGTCGTCCCTCCTATTTCGTCGCCGTCGTCGTCGTCGTCGTTGTCGTCGTCGTCTTCCCTCCTCCCTCGTCGTTGTCGTCGTCGGCGTCGCCGTCCTTCCTCCTTCTTCGTCGTTCGCGTCGTCGCCGTCCTCCCTCCTCCCTCGTCGTTGTCGTCGTTGTCGTCGTTGTCGCCATCGTCGTCCTCCCTCCTCCCTCGTCGTCGTCTTCGTTGGCATCGTCGTCGTCGTCTTCGTCGTCGTCTTCGGCGTCGGCGTCGTCGTCGTCGTCGAAGTCGTCGGAGACGTCGTCGGTGTCGTCGTAGTCGTTGTCGTCGGTGTCGTCGTAGTCGGTCTTAAGAGGTTTTGCAAACCAAGTTGCGTGTGGGTGGGTGGGATGTTTGCAAGAGCGTGGGATGTGTCAAAAATCATGGGTAAAAATCAATTGCAACACGTAGACTGCACCACATATATTGCGCCACGTAAGTTGGAAGATTGCGCACTACATAGATTGCACCACGCATATAGCACAGCATAGATTGCACAATTTGTAGTCCATAACGATTACAAACAACGCATATGACACAACCTAGAGTGTATAATAGATGTTGCACAACATATATTGCAGCACGCAGATTGACCACATAGATTGCCCCCTTATCTTGCACAACATTTACGATAAGAGGCACAGCGTGTGGGGTCCACTTTGGCTAACATTATTTGCTCATGTGCTCACGTATCTATTCATGGATCCGAAAACCCAGAAGAAATGTGCCCCCCGCCACCTCCGCAAAAAGAAACCTCCCAGATCATTGGCTTCCAACGCCTGCCGGACGCCCTTGCAAAAAGTTCGCCCAGCTTTCCGGGCGTCCAGAGAGCGCCTCCGATGGCCAAAGAGGGCCCCATCGCGAAAGGGAGAAGGGAAAGAGGAGAGGGGGGAGAGGGAAGGAGGCAAAGCAGAGGTGGGAAAGGGGAAGAGGGAAGGGGGGAAACAGAAGGGGGAGAGGAAGAGGGATAAGGGAAAGTGGATTTGAAAAAGGGCAAGAGGGAATGGGTAGGAACAGGCAATGGAGAATGGTGATGGGGGGTCGGAGATAGGAAGGAAAAAGGGGTAGGAAGAAGGGGGGCGGGAGAATGGTGAGCGGTGTTGGGGAAAAAACAAAACAGGAAATGGGAAACCATACAATACTTATCCTTGCGAAGGACGAGACCGTATGCAGTTGTGAGTACCGCGGTCGTGAGTACCGTCTTCGGTGGAGCTCCATATGGGGCCACGAAACGCGTGAGGGGTGTGCCGACATGGGCGCGGTGGTGCCATGCGGGCGCTGCCGCTGGGGCCGCTGGTGGAGCCCCCTATGGGGCCACGAAACGTGTGAGGGGTGTGCCGAACTGAGCGCGGCGGTGCCATGCGGACGCTGCCACTGTGGCCTTCGGTGGAGAGACGAAACGTTTGAGGGGTGTGCCGAAATGGGTGCGGCGGTGCCATGCGGGCGCTGCCAGTGGGGCCGTCCGTGGTGCTCCCTGTGAGGCCACGAAACATGCGACGGGGTTGTCGAAATGGCCGCGGCGGTGCAATGCGGGCGCTGCCACTGGGGCCGTCGGTGGAGCCCCCCATGGGGCCACGAAACGTGTGAGAGGTATGCCGATATGAGCGCGGCAGTGCCATGCGGACGCTGCCACTGTGGCTTTTGGTGGATCTCCCTACGGAGCGACGAAACGTGTGAAGGGGTGTGCCGAAGAAATGGGTGCGGTGGTGCCACGCGGGCCACTGGGGCCGTCGGTGGAGCTCCCTATGGGGCCACGAAGCGTTTGAGGGGTGCGCCGGAATAGGTGCGGCGGTGCCATGCGGGCGCCTGCCACTGGGGCCTTCGATGGAGCTCCCTATGGGGCCACGACACGTGTGAGCATGAGGGGTGTGCCGACAAGGGTGCGGCGGTGCCATGCGGGCGCTGCCAGCGGGGCCGTCGGTGGAGCTCCCTGTGGGGCCACGAGACGTGTGAGAGGTGTGCCAAGAAGAGTGCGGCGGTGCCATGCGGGCGCTGCCACTGGGGCCGTCGGTGAACCCCCCATGGGGCCACGAAACGTGTGAGTGATGTGCCGACATGAACTCGGTCGTACCATGCGGGCGCTACCATTGTGGCCTTCGGTGAAGCTCAACATGGAGCGACAAAACGTGTGGGAGGTGCGTCGAAGTGGGTGTGGCGGTGCCGCGCGGGCGCCGAGACGCGGGGCGCTGTCTTTTCAAAACGAAAACCAAACACCACAAGATGGTTGGGAAAAAACTATCCCGGCGAAGGACCCAGCCATATGCAGTTGTGAGTACCGTCGCTGCGGGTATCGCCTTCGGAGGATCTCCGCATGGGACCATGAAGCATGCGAAAAATATGCCAATGTAGGGCGGGGCCGCCATGTGGGCGCTGCCACGGGTACTTTAGGCGGAACCCACTACGGGGCCGCGAAACGTGTGAGGGATGTGCCGCAATGGGGCGGGGCCGCCACAGGGCCCACGGACCGTGTGAGTGGTGTGCCGAATTTTTGTTTCACAACCACAAGCAACCCTCGCGGCCCCCGTCTCCACAGGAGGGTTAGTAGAAAAGCACACACTGCTGAACACGCCTGGCCATTCGCCAGCTGGATGCTGTGTGCTAGCCGTTAGCCGGCTCGGAGGATAACATGTAGATCGCAACGAAAAAGAAAACTGTGTAGTTGTGCGTTTGGCTCGAGCACAGCTTGCCGGTCCAGCCGGGCAAGATAGTGGGAGAGTAGGGGGGAGGGGCAAACGAGTGCCAAGGCACGCGGGTACAGCATTGGACGAAGTTCTGAAGTGGGCGGGGGCGGGGCGAACCAAAATCCCCCTGAACCCGAGGGGGCCCGAAGAGGAAGGGAAGGGGGGGACGGGAGAGGGGGAGCGCAGAACAGAGAAACTCCGCCCAGGCGTCAACTTGCCGACCTGGCTTGTCCACGCGGCGCCCAGTTCACGTACACGTGACGACCAGGGGCGTCTGGCGGCACGTTGCCTGCCACTCTGTCCAAGACCAGGTTGCACACCGAATCCGCATCCGCGTTGAACTCACGGTACACATGGTCTATGCTCACCTCTAACACGGATGGGAGACGGCGTGGCCTTTCAAGCATCGCCAAAGCTTGCTCGTAGGCTGGTCGCAATGCAATGGTTGCACACTTCCGCTCGTATCTCAGCTGCTGGGCCACCAAGAGCGAACCCAACAAGAAACGAATTCTCGGGGCAGGGTTCTCGATGGCGTGGTCAACAGAAAGTAGCGCCCCTGCATATTCTGCCTCGT